TATCTCATCAACCATACTGGAGTTCGGACCTTCTCATTTAATCCTTTTACATCCTCACACTGGATAACCACATGCAACTAGAACATGGCGCAGTCGTTTCACGGACCATTTAAGTTTCCTCGGGAAAGGGAAGGAAGGCAAAATAGGGTGAGTGTGAGTGATTGAAATATCACGAATCGGAGCGAATGACCGACTCTTGTGTGAGAAGGGCAATCCTAATCTCTGTGAATTTCTCTGTTGTGTTACATGTGTTTGGCGGCGAGGAGTGCTGTAAAGAAGCCCCGTTAGTGGACCCCTGTGTGAACTGTGTGCCTGCATTAAATCTAATCAGTGCGTAAAGTAGAGACAGTGAACCAGAAATGACAGTGCTTGAGTGCTTGACATGAAATTGTGTGCAAATGCATCTCATATGTAACGACAATCAGCTCCATGCTGCAGTTACGAGGGCTCTTTTTCCCTAGAACCTGTTGGTTCTGTTATTGAGATATTCTATCTGAAACGTGACGGCCAGAAACATGTTAGTGTTACTGCAATGATGAGTGGCACAGGAACACTCTGAAGTGATCCGCTGCAGTATACTCTCATTGGGTCATAATGTTTTATCAGATAAATCGAAATGTTTGGAAACAAACTTTTGCTCCTGTCAAGTTGCACATGTCTGAAGTGAGTCCATCACAATGCCAAAACAAGTCATTTTGTCGACTGAATGCTGAAGCATGCTCGTACCATTGTTCTATTGTTGAAAAACAATAAAAAGAGACACAATACAAATTAAGTGTGTTCATTGTGAGAGTCCCCTTGTGTTGGGTTCCACCTTCAAAAAAGAAAGTCACCGTAAAACTGGTGAGCTTAGTCACAAAAAAGCTATCCCACTGGTGAAAGCATGTGACCTTATGTCATCGTAAAGATTGACATGAAGGACGCAGTAGATAACATCTACCTTGTTCTGAATTGTTCACAAAGTGTCACAATGACATACTAGAGCTTGGTGATCTTTGTAATTAAAAGGACACCTTGGTCTGGGACAGTCAGTGTTTAAACACTCTAATTGAACGTTGAGTGTCATACAAAGACAGCCTCGGTCCTGGTGATTTTAGGAATCAAGTACTTGTCACCCTGTGCTGGGAAGTCTAGTGTGTCACCACTCTAATTGAATAGAAAATGAACAAAGGCTTTTTACTCAGTATGCAGTGCATACCTGAAACAGACTTAAGTGTCAAAGTGATACCTTTACTACCATACACTGGTAATACTGCTCATTACTTGTAATGAAACGTTCCAGGTTGTTTGGCAAACTGTGGGAACCTTTATCTGACATTGCATGTCAGTGGGGTTGACTGTAAAATCTCTCTCACGTTGAGTGGAGTGGAGACAGGGAAATGAAAGCCTTTGTTAGCCGTTACTGGGCAGGTACTGAGTGACATTAGTTGACCAACAGAAAATGTAAACAGAACTTGCTATTCGTCCTATTGAGACGACACAGCAAAACATTCTGCACACTATTGCTTATAGTGTAAGGGACCGTCTCGAGTTCTTTGGGTACATGATAGGAAAAGTTATTTTCCTTCTCGTGACTCTTGCCCTTGACAATTAAGGAAGGGAAATAAAAGTAGTTTGTTTACCAAGTTGCTAACTTGAACATCAACCCCTCGCACAAAGCAGGAGCTGGTACAGAAATTCACAGAATAAATGTGACTTAAGGGAAAAGGAATGTAGCTCAAGGCAAGACTAGCCTGATCACCTAGTTTCTTCGCCTGCTCACAGACTTCCCATTGTCAAGTCCCAACTTGAAAAAGACTGTAAACCTATCTTTATTTAAGTGTTGCATACTTGGAAAGCAGTCATGAGTGTTGACAAAGTCCACCAGCATGATGGTGCCTCCAGAGTTGGCACTACTCCGGTGTATGGTGACACCAAAGTTCCATAACAGAAAAGTTTAATTTGGACAATACTCCATAACAAACAATTGTTTGTAACTGGAAACGGAAACAAAACTGAATTCATACTTGTGATAGTCTGCTCTCACAGAGAGGTCTCGACCATTCTCTGAAAGCACAGTCTAATCTGATAATGCTCCGTCTAACCTTGTCAAACTGGACAGTTGAATGAAAGCTAGTTCAGCTCCGACTGTAATCTGACCTGGATTCATTGAGTATCCATGAGAGGTCAGGCCAGCAAAGGAAAAGAAACAGGAAAGTTCAGACAAAAACAAACTGCATACAAATGTAGAACGCATGTAGAAAACTTCTTACTAATGCTTAGAACAAAAAAGAATTCAGCCTTTTGTCCAAACAATCTTGGGGAAGCACTATTGGGTATGAACAGAGGTGAGACTCTAATAAACCCATAGTGACAGTTCGAAACTCGAAGCTGTTCAGTTTGTCAGCCCTATAGGGATGACATTTATCACCTGGTGATACGGGTTCACTCTTTTTATCCCACTGGGTTTTTGAGTTTGTAATCCCATTACTTATCCTAAATGTGAAAAGTGAAAAAGGCATTCAAGTAAGTTGCAGATTTTATCCACCCGACACAAAGGGTGAAATGCCCAAACAGAGCAGTGCTCTGTGGGTTGGTTCTTGTTTCAAAAAAGAAAACAAATATGAAGTTCCACAAATCTCTGACAACATATCAAGCTGTGCACTAGTTCCCCACTAAAGTAAGCCTGAAGGTAGTTATGTTTGCCAGAGATAGTGCAGGACTTCTCACTAGTCACTGCACCAAACTGAGTGAGTCACTCCCTCAGAGAGATAAAAGAAAACTTCTCTAAAAAGCTGTTTCTCATTACTGATTTTGACCATCTCTATTACACAATACTTAGTGTAATGAGGGCAAACAAGTGCATCACTTGTGTAAGAGTAATGTTCTATAAATTAGAAAAGTATCATTCCACCTAGATTGTGTTATGACACGGAAAATTAAAATAATTCTCCACAATGTCACAACTGTACTGGGTGAAAGACAAATACTGACAAAAGCGGTGCCCTCTTCGTAACCAAACTGCTTGTGTGAGCTGATACACAAAAAGGTTTAACCATTACACCAAACCAAAGTTTGCTTATTATTGTAAAAAATAAATAATGGCATACACAGTTTGGAAAGCAATTTGTCACAGACTCGAATGGCCTAGAGGTTACTTGCTGGACCCAACAGTGGCTTCATGCAATACCAGCACTCATGTCAAAATAAAATGTCAAATAACATTACTTTACACGGGCACACAAAAGTTAGTGTGTTGCGTGTGCTGCGAAACCTGTCACATCAAGCCATCCGGGAGTCACAACAGTTATAGACTGATGTAGAAAACATTCATTGAACAATGAGAATAACAAGGTGAACAAATTATTCCCATCGTGACGCTCATCACAATTGAATACTCCTAAGGATCGGCAAACATGTCACTTCCAAAGTGGGCGTTACTTCTTTGCAAAATCTATGAAGTAATTGGTCGATGTCAGGTTGACCAAACAATGCAGCACAAACATCAAGTGTTCAGGGGTTCCTTGGTGACTCTGCACTTTGATAATGAGTTAACTTTGCCACAAAGTTGGACTTCATTGCACAAATTAGTTACTCCATTATTAAAAGGAGGGTGATGAAGGTGAATCTAAAAAAGAAAAAGGAAAGAAAGGGGAAGTAAAGGAATCAGTCATGGGACTGGATGATGTCATTTTGAGCTTTATGTAACAAAAGTCATTTGACATCAAGTGCAGAAATGTATATCTCTGGCACAAGAAAACAACCACCTGTGTCGCTGACGAAGTTAGGGCATTAGGCTAAGACACAGTTAAAGTAGGTGTAGTGGGTTATGACCCAAAGCAAAGTGAAACTGTAGTGTCAAGCACACCACATGTACTCTGCTGTTCACCGAAAACCAACTGATGTAAAAACATATCAGAATCGTGTAAAGGTTCAGCATAACCCCAAAGTTCCTATCACTTCTTGGATAGATCACCAGACCACCAGATAACTATTGTCCGTCAGTCCCACTAATAACTTTCCAGTTAACAGTGAGGTCTCAAAGACTAGTAAACAAACTGACGAATTGTTGGAGCTGTATTATATTGAATAGTACAACAAAAACTTAGACAACCATTGCTAACACAGGCTTTGTCTGACTAGCAGAAAAACTGAATTGTTTACCAGTTGTTTGCAGTTGCAATTTCTCATGTCAACAGGCTGTTAGTTAAGTCAGTGCAGCCAACTTGTTAAGAGACAGATACTTGTCTCCCAAAAGGGGGGAGATGTTCTAGACGTGAGTTGGCATCACTGCCGTCGTCTGCATTGTCTACGTAAAGCTTACGCTACCTGCCGTAGGATAGCGCCACCAGCGCCTATGC